TAGCGCACCATGTACCTGTCAATCACGGCCTGCACCGGGTCCCAGGAGACAGTGGCCGTGGTCTCCGTCACCTGGTCGGTCACCAGGTTTTGGGGGCTGTCAATGTCTGAAAGGAAAATGATAAGTAAATGCTATTAACAGAGTGAGATCTCGTAGCCATGTTCCTTGGCGTGAGGTAGTTTCCTGTTCTTATGGTTTCGCATCCTGTACATTTTCAGCTGGGTCATGGACACAGACCTTCTCTCCACATCTGGACCCTTGGATCCTCAAGGAGGCAGCACAGGACAGAATGAGTTCCAGATCCAGGGGCAGATGAGCTGGGTCCTGGACAAGAAGTCAGCTGCCTCTGGCTAGGCCTCAATATCTTCATCTGCAAATCTGGGGTTCGGGCTGGATGGACTTTAAGGGTCAGATGAGCACTATATCCCATGCATGCATCTAATTTCATAAATTACTGAGTTGCTTTGTGGCCGTGGGCAAGTGATTTCATGTCTCTGCATTTGTAAAATGAAGTTGTTAAAAGTTATTATACATATCTCTCTGGGTAGCTCTGAAAACCAAGATAAAAGGGGGCCGTGTAAATGTTAAACGTGTCACAGTGTTTACAGCCTAAAGCCACAGGATATTCACTCTATAATTTAAAGTGCAATTGAGGGCAAACCAGTCTCTGTACCTGAATTTCCTTCACAGCAAAAAAAAAAGCAAAGAAAAAGAAAACAGAAAAGTGGGGGTTGTGAGGGGTACAGGGCAAAATAATATTCGAGTATATCCTATAGAGTTGTTGTATTATATGAATTCATGGCATACCCCTAAGACAGGTCCTGGCACAGAGCGGGTGCCCAGTGACCATAAGCCATTATTAATGATATCAGTTCATTGATAATTTATGAATGTAAGAGATTATGGTGTTTCATACCACACGCATACACAGAAGGTATTCAAAATGCATTCACCAAGAAAGTAACGGCATTTCTTTGTTCCAAATAGTTCACTGGAAAAGCCATTTCCTGAAGGTCTTTGCCCCTAGGTCTTATCCCATATATGCAATCGTATGTTAAAGTGGAACTATTCTTAGCTTGGTTTAGGCTGCAACCCCTCGAAAACTGGTGTCTACATTCCCACCTGAGGGCCCATATCCAAGGCAGGACCACCGGTTTTGTGGCCCTTGACGGACCAACCACCTCCAGACGATGAAAGAAGAGAGGCCAAAGAGGCGGGACTTAAACAGTGGATTTCTGTGGAGCGAGCTTTACTGTGAGTCATGGGCGAGACCGAAGCCTTGAATAAGTAGTTGCAATGGGATCTCTTGCAGAGTTTGCTATGTACACTGGAGAGCAGTGGTTCTCAACCAGAGGGCACTGGAAATAGCTGGAGACACTCTTGACCATCACCATGCAGTGTGGGATGGGGAGGCTACTGGCATCTCATGGGTAGAGGCCAGGGATGCTGCTAAACATCTTACAGGGCACCACACAGGCCCCAGCAGCCAAGAGTCACCCAGCCCAAAACACCAGTCGGGCCTAGGCTGAGAAACCCTGCGTGGGAAAGCCCATGGGCTGGCACCTGCCATAGCTAAGAGGTGAGGAAACAGCCAGCTGCTCTGATGGCAGCAGTGAGAGGCCGCAGCGCTGCCAGGGACCTGGGCATCTGGTTGGCTGGACAAAAGACGTGCTCATGTTCCCCAGGGACCACGTGCGGGACAAGCAATGGAGAGTCTACCTGGGATTACTTCAGAAGCTGTCCTAGAGGATCACCAGGAGGGGTGAGGTGACCCCCCCCAGAAAAGCACTGAGTGCACCCCCAGATACGTGGGCAGAGGAAGGGGAGTAGGAGACCAGCAGGACAGATGCATTTGCCCACAGGACCACTACAGTGAGCGGTCCCAGGAGACGAGGACAGATAAGGTGTCTGAACAACCCACAGACGTGTCCCATGAGGGAAAAAGTGTAACATTTGTCAGGCCCCGTGGCACGCCTAAGACCGGTCCAGTCAAGCAAGGTCTGCCACGGTCTCTCCTTCTCTCCTCCTTGCAGACCTCTCATCCCTCCTTCTCTCCTTCCCTCCCTCCCTCTCAGCTGGGCCAAACATAAATGGGTCAGAAACAGCAGTTGGATGCTGGAAGGACAGCACTTGAAGTGCAAGAAGGGAAATAAGAGAAGCCGAGCGCGCCCCTCCCAGTGGCAGGCGCTTAGGCCCCAGATGGCCCAGGCTGATGGGGAGGGCAAGCTTCCGCGCTCAATGAAGCATGTGCTGTTACATGGGCGTGGAAATTTTAATTACTAAAATATACATTTGGTGGACTAAAAGTGACTAGATATTTGCTTATTTTTAGCTAATACAACATTCTAGCTAATAAAACATCAGCCTAATATGTTCATCCAAGGGGGACTAAAAGTGACTAGATATTTGCTTATTTTTAGCTAATACAACATTCTAGCTAATAAAACATCAGCCTAATATGTTCATCCAAAGGGCAGAAACAAAATCAGGCTCCACAGAAAGGGTTTCAACAGGTGAGGAGTGGGGGGAAGGTGCTTTTGGACCACAGTGCCCAAGCCTGGCTCCCTCAGCATGATCTTGTGTTTCTTGTGTTTCCCCACGCTTATTACTTATCAGGGTGAAGCATTCAGTGTGCTGAAAACAAAGAAGGTGCACAGGCAGAGAACAGAGGACTTTGAGCTATGACATCAATCTTACTGCTCAAGTTTGGAGACCACATGACGAGTTACGTGTTCTAAGAGGAGCTATTAAATGGAAGGAAGGAATTTACTACAGAAGGATACCAACCAGCCTGCTCTCCCCTAAAACCTCCCTTTCTGCCATGGTCAGAGAAGAAAAACCACCCTAGACAGACCATGAGCTTATCAGTGACACAGTGGCCATGCAAGCCCCATTACCTGTCGGGGCCTTGGTGTCGGCCTTCCTGCTCTCCCGGTCCCCCTTCTCGGCCCACACGTGGACCGTGTACTCCACGCCCGGCCTNGTCCCAATGTACTTACAGCCCAAATGTTTTTCTGCTCCCAACAATCCCCTTCCCTCAAAGGTGTCTTTCCTTCTCAGTGTAATAATTAGCCTACATTTTTTTTTCTTTTCTCTGCCTTTCCTGTTGTGTTATTTCTCTGTAGTCTCAACTTGAATGATTGTGCCCCATGGTACAAACCTGCAGACGTTGGTGGCAAAACGTGGGCAAACAGCAGCGCGTGTGAGGCACACTGTTCTCACTCCCCAGACACTGGGAACCCCCAGACGTCCGTTCAGGAAGTAGACAGAGGAACGAGGCTGCAAGGGGCGCTCACCATGGAGCAACTTGGCCTCAGGCCCTCACCTGCACAGGCCCCTGCCGAGGCCATGTGCAGAACTGGGCATTCACCGCTGCGTATTGCTTTTCTTAACGAGGGCCTTAAAATGGTGTAAGCGTCAGGAGTCACACGACGTGACCCAGCCCTGCACGGCCTGCTCCTGAATGGCTGCCTGATTTCCTGCGTTTACAACGTCAACTCAGGCATGTGGGGCCAGGACCTCCCCCAGCCCAGCCGCCCAGCACAAGGCCTTCCATGCATCGTGCCCAAAACACGGATCTCCACCAATCTACCCTGTTTCCCCAAAAACAAGACCCAGCTGGAAAATAAGCCCTCGCATGATTTTAGGTGCCAAAATATGGCACCTGAGCATACTGAACGTTTTAAGCTGAAGGAGTTTGTAAAGGCACCCTTCTCCCTGAAACAGGTCATAAAACCCTCATGTGAGGGGTGTGTGCCCTCCATATCCTGGAGGGATCATGCCAAGGCTTCTTCTCCGGCTAGGTCTCATTTTTGGGGAAACACAGNTGGTGTCGGCCTTCCTGCTCTCCCGGTCCCCCTTCTCGGCCCACACGTGGACCGTGTACTCCACGCCCGGCCTCAGGCCCGTCAGGACGGTGCTGTTCTGCTCCTTTTCCACAGGAACCTCCCTGGTGTCCCCATCGGGGGAGGTGTAGCGCACCATGTACCTGTCAATCACGGCCTGCACCAGGTCCCAGGAGATGGTGGCCGTGGTCTCTGTCACCCGGTCAGTCACCAGGTTTCTGGGGCTGTCAATTTCTTTAAGAAAATGTTTGGAAAAGCTTAAGTTTTGAAGCCATGGAAGAGATACCCAGCAGCCCATCACCTTGACTTCATCTCCTAGAGCTCTCGTGGCACAAGGCAATGGGAATCCCATCCTGAGTCGCTCCCTGAGGGGGAGTCAAGGGAGAAAGGTACCCCTAGTTCCCAATTGCAAAGGACTACTCATTACAAACTTGACATACTGTCAGCTCCCTACGATGTGGGAGGATTGATGTCTTCTTAGCAACGTCATGGTACATCGAAACATCGAAATCAATCAAACATCTGTCATGACATTTGGGGTGCCTAATTTATCATTTCATTGCAGGCAACTTCACAGGTGATCCTTCTAAAAGTATTATAAGCATTGCACTGGCCACATCTTCTGAACATCTCTGCTGAGTCTGCTATAAACATGGCTACTGCATAACCTTACGTCTCCCTTCTAGTGGGCTGAGGGTTTTGTGAACACCTCATCGCTGTCAGGGGACAGCTGAGCTGCTCGTGGAGATCACCACTAGACTTGCTGTCCTTTTTGATCTTTAAGACTTGCTTTGCAAAGTCTCTCAACTCAGGCCACATCTTTTGGTACCAGGTGCACTCAAATCCATACACTCAAAATCCGATTCCAATTGGCCATCTTTCTCTTGTTACCTGTTGGGGCCTTGGTGTCGGCCTTCCTGCTCTCCCGGTCCCCCTTCTCGGCCCACACGTGGACCGTGTACTCCATGCCCGGCCTCAGGCCCGTCAGGATGGTGCTGTTCTGCTCCTTTTTCACAGGAACCTCCCTGGTGTCCCCATCGGGGGAGGTGTATCGCACCATGTACCTGTCAATCACGGCCTGCACTGGGTCCCAGGAGATGGTGGCTGTGGTCTCTGTCACCCGGTCGGTCACCACGTTCATTGGGCTGTCAATTTCTTTAAGAGAAATGAAAGAGTATAGCATTCACCAATGCTCGAGTTCGTGAAAGGCCAGTATACACACAACTAAACTGATGACTCAATAAATTTCAGTCTGTTATATGCCAGTGATTGAGATAGCTTAAAGGTTTAATTAAACAAGTGGCCTGAAATTCCAAAAATGAGCTAATAGCAATTCATGAGAAGTAGGGTGTTCAGACAAAGCCACATAAAGTCTAAGTTCTATGAACTTTTCTCACACGTTGCCTTTGCATAAAAAGAATTGGTCTTCATATACAAATTTCTCCATTCCTCTTGATTTATAGAATACACTCTTTAAATTCCTGATTCCTTGTACCTGCAACAAATTGTACTTCAACAAATTTCTGTATTAGCTTTAATATTTTCTTGGGGAAGAGCATTATCCTAGAGGAAGCTGCCAGTTCTTTCATATAAAACATTATGTGTGTGGCTAGAGAACCAGAAGAGTTTTGAACTGATGGTATCTGAGGTCTGGGCTGATAAAATCATCCTGCTTGTAGAATCTGTTGGGTGTCTATGCGATTAAACTGTGTTAGGCCTGGGCTCCACTGCTGCAGGTTGCTAGCTTTGGACAAGCTGTATAATTTAAGTGTCAGTCTCCTCATCTCTACGAAGAGGGAAATCTCAGCTCCTAGCTAATATGTTACAGTAAAGAGTAAATGAGATAGTCATAGGAAATGCTTAAAAACGAGCTCTTTGTTACTGCAAATGTCATCGGAGGTATGAAATACCATGTTCTCTTCAAAATGTAAACGCTTAGAGAGTAAAAAATGCAAGATCCTGGGTACGTGATTAGCACGCCTTTATTTTCCTGTTTCCAAACCCACCTCCTCCAAAGCCTGAACTCCCTGTGATAGCAGCTACAGTTCGGCCCTGAGCACCGCTACTTGCCCAGCATGGCCAGGTCGGGTACACAGTGCAGGGAGGTGGCCTGCGTTCAGGGGCACAGAGTTCAGAATGCAGCACAGACGGCTGACGTATAAGGACACACAGTGGACCCCTGGGATTCTGAGCTGGCTTTAAGAACTATGAGAGGGGCCGGCCGAGTGGCTCAGTTGGTTAAGAGCTCGCTCAAGAGTTTGAGCTCTGAGCAACAGCGGTTCGAGTCCAGCCCGAGCTGAG